GCAGAAAACACAGGATGTGGCCGGACAGGCACTGAGTGTTCTAAGAAGCTGGGGTTAGAGCTTGGAACCTCTCATGCTCCAGGATGAAGTCTCATGGGCACCACTAGTCCTCACCCCTGTTACGTGGCCCCAGAATGCATTGCAATGCCGGAGAGCTTGCTAAAAGTTGCTGGGAGAAACCAGGGGAATCAGATGAAAAGGGTGGATGGCTATAATTCTTTACTGCGCCAGATCGAACATGTCACAGAATATATCCCATGCTGGAGGTTTCAGATGTGTCTTCTGGATACACCAGTAATGAGAATGTCACAATTAATTTTAGTGCTGGCACATTGTTTAAGAAAAGCTAGCATGATGGGATCTTCATTTACAGAAAGAGGACTTAGGGAATGGAACCTTTATTTTTCTTTTAAATATTTGTTTCTGATAATAAATTCTTGTATCTCAAAAATTCATAGAGTGGAAAGCCTCCTTTTCATGCCTGCCCCTACCCACCAATTCTCCTCCCCAGAGGCAACGAATGTTCCCAGCTTTTTGTGAATCTCTCCAGAGATACAGACACATGGGAAGATCTGTATGGGAATGGATCTTTCCAGTGTCCACTGATACATCGCTGTGTGGAAGATTATCTCTGGATAAAGAGATGTCTGGGCAGAAGGCGCAGGATTGCCTCAACCTTTCTATGAACCACCTAAATCCCACAGGGAATTAACAGATTTAGGTTCTGAATGGCAGGCTTACTTGATATAAGGAGATAATGTCTGGCACTAATAAGAAGAGCTAATAAGTGAGCTGCTCTCTATCTAGATTGCATTTAAAGGGCTAAGTAATGATCCACAACCTGTATATTCCCTTCAAGGATGGCTGGTGCTAAGAGCAACAATATCTTCTCCATAAACAATTTTCTAAATGTAAAACATTATCATATTTTGGTATTATTTTGATTAGACTCAACAATGTTTACCAAAACTTTATCTTCTTAAAAGAAATCCTGAAAACAATTTGAAAATCGTAAGCACGATTTTTACAAGTCTGAGAGCCAAAAGATTTCTCTACTGGAATGCAACTCTAATGATGTAATACAAATTAATGGACAAATAGCAGCAGACATTGGCTTTGCTGCCAGGTTTTAAAGAGTACTTAAGCAAGGCATATTTATCTTAGTTATATGAATATTTAATTTTTCCTTATCTGGATAGACATTTTAAAGAGTGGTAATCAATACATTTTTTGGAAAACTTTTAAAGCTTACCCTTGTTACAAAAAAAAAAGCATATAATTTTCTCTTAAAATGCAGCTCATCCCTATTTACATCTATTAATATTTACTTAAACAATAAAGATATCAATAGACTTATAGTATACAACAAGTATACTCTAAATTTCTGTAGATGAGTAAATACAGAAAAATAGCCAATGGAATTTTGAAGGTGAAAAAAATGCCCTACCAGATACAAAAACACACTATAAATCTATTCTAATTGAACAGTGTGACACAGTGCAATGACAGGAAACCGATCACTAGAACATAATAAAGAATACAGGAACTGATCCACGTGTATATGAGAAGAATTTCACATCAAGGCGGAAATAAATGGGGCAACTGACTACTGATTCCTTTCTTTATTTTTGTTTCAAGTTTTTATTAAAATTCTAGTTAGTCAACATATAGTGTAATATTGGTTTCAGGAGCAGAATTTAATGAGTTATCACTTGCTCATCATAACATATGCCCTCCTTGATGCCCATCACCCATCTAGCCCACCCCCCACCCACCCCTTTCCATCAACTCTCAGTCCGTTCTCTATAGTTGAGTCTCTTAAAAGCCTCTCTCTTTTTTCCCCTTCCCCTATGTTCATGTGTTTTGTTTCTTAAATTCTACATATGAGTGAAATCACATGGTATTTGTCTTTCTCTAACTGACTTGTTTTGCTTAGCATACTATGTTCTTGCTCCATTCATGTTTCACTTAGCATAATACACTCTAACTCCACCCATGTGATTGCAAATGGCAAGACTTCATTCTTTTTGATAGCTGAATAATATTCCATTGTATACATATGCCACATCTCATTTATCCATTCATCCTAACTACTGATTTAGAACAAAGTAAAGTTAGTTTACTCTCTTAAATCACCCACACAAATAAAATGCCCAATGGATGAAAGATCTAAGCGTTAAAAAAAAAAAGGCATATATAAAAATTGAAGAGAATAGATTTATAACCTTGGTTTTCCTCTGTAAGACACAAAACAATGAAGTAAAAGTAACAATATAGACACATTTGAATGTGCAAAAATTTAAACAAAAGACCATACAAAAAAGTTAAAACGTTAAGAACAAATTGAGGAAAAGTATGGTGACATATGTAATAAAGAGCCAATATCCACAACATCTAAGGAGTTTTTACTAATTCATGTGAAAAAGACAACCCAAAAGAAAACTGGTCAAAGTAAATAAAAAATTAAAAATAAATGGTCAATAAAGATATGTAAGGATGCTCAACCTTATAGGAATCAATGTTCAGTTTTTAGACTATAGACCCCTCACCACCACCACCACTACCACCATCCTGTCCCGCCAGTGCTGATGAGGTGATACACGAGGCATGCTCATAAACTGCAAGTTACAGAATAGCATCTTTTAAAATGTAAAAAACATAAATCCAGTGACCTGGCGAATCCACTCATGTTACTAGTACAGAAACACTGGCATGTGTGCACAAAGATATCTATATATTTTAATGACATTTTAAAAAATTTATTTATATGCATTATTTATATATAATAAATGTTTATTTATTTATTTGACACAGAGAGAGAGAGAGAGTACACAAGCAGAATGAGTGGAAGGCAGAGGGAGAGGGAGAAGCAGTCTCCCCAGCTGAGCAGGGAGCCCAATGCGGGGCTCTATCCCAGGGTTCTGGGATCATGACCCGAGCCGAAAGCAGATGCTTAACCGACTGAGCCACCCCGGTGCCCCCACAAAGACATATTTATAAAGAAAGTCAAGTCACTGTTTTACTAATGAAACACTGAAAATTCCATAACATCTATCAATAGAATAATTGATTAATAACTTATGGTATATTATCTATAGAATGCCACAAGGTCATTCAAATGAAAGATAGACACTTATATGGAAAAATCTTCTAGATGCTGTTTTGTGTGTGACTCAGAGTGTACATAAAGGCATATGTGTACATACATGTAGATCATATATATACATCTACATGTTTGTAAATACACAGGAAAATGTCTACTAGGATCTACACTGAACTTTAACCACTGATTACCTGTGAGGACAGAAATGAAGTTGAGAAAGGAGGGAGTAAAGGGAGTTTTCATTTTTATTTGATGGCTTGTTGCACTATCTGAATGCTTAAGTAGAATATATCCTTTGTGCCCATAACAAATATAGATGCAAAAAATAAACGAACTTTACTCTCCTTGAAACCCTTTTCTTTTTCACTTGTTCATAATATACGACAGAAGAGAAAGAACCTCTTTCAGTATAAATGTTTATTTTTCATAAACTGGAACTTCCATAGAAATGTATTTTTAAAAAATTTGTTTTTTTTCTATTTTCATTTATTCTTCCAATGTTATCAAATGATAATTAGGTAATCAGATACTATGAATTCTAGGAAGACTATGCAGAAGTCAAATGATCCTGAATTATAAAGAGTAGGTTGAGTGCAGTCACTCTACCTCAGGGGTCAGGACTCAAAGGCACGAACACGTACATGTTATCTGTTCAGTTACCTGGAGGTCCCCACCAACTCAATGTCACCATAAATATTCAGCCACCTTATTATGATCAACTTTACTGGAGATGTGGGACCACAGGTGTCAAATATCAACATGAACTTTTCCTGACCCCGCAAGTGGAAGGGAGAAAAGGAGCAGACAGTAGGTCTGGCTTGATCTGTCCATGTGACTGGTCCAAGAGTCAATTAGGATTAGAAGCAGACCTCAAATAGAGAAAAATCCTATACATCCAGATGGCTAAGAGCCCTAAATGCATTTACAAATAAACATGATATAGGAGGAAGCAAGACAAATACAACTCCCCCAGAAGAAAGGGGAGTTTCTTCTGCATGCCAAACATTATCACAGGAGCAAGGAGGTCTCTACCAACTTCAGCGGAGGGACCTGCTATTAAATTATGAAGTTATACCATTACTTCCTTTATCATAGGACATGCTATGAGCATAGAACACCACCACCAACAGGAACCAGCGCAGAGAGAGTAGCACTAGGGTGTATGCCTAGTTGAGGCTGTTTCGAGCCTAGGGAATCATTATTTGCTTTCCTGAAAGACCTACTGTGGTCTTCTTCATGTAATCATCTGTCCTGGTATGTTTGTTAGCAATTTAATTTTTTGAGATTTAATTGGCATGCACATTTTTAGGAACATACATGTTATAAAAAAGCAAAGCACATGAACCCATTAGAGAGAAAGAAACAGAACACCTGTGAAGAAGCGGGTGGTCAGACTACATAATCACGCAGGTCCCTTCTGGTTTTAGCACAAGAATAAACTGAAACCCAAGGGTACTAGGAGGAAAAAGGGTAGGATTGCTGTAACCTTCTGCAGGAGCAGTAAAAATTAGATTCCTAATCTAAGTTAGGTCTTCTGAAAATTGAGTTTCTATCTTCTCTAAGTTATGTCTACGGTGAGCCCAAAGCAGACACACATGTGCCCATAGTGGCTCTCACCAGCATCTGTTCTGAGCATAAAACTTCAACTGAGCCTCTTCAAGAACAGAATGAATGATTCTAATGCTTGTCTTCTGGCCCAGAAAATAAGACTAAGAAAGAAACCAGAACATAGCCCTTTGGAATGATTCAGACTTCTGTGAAAGAAAGAAAAAAAAAGACTTAATTTTTTAAATGTTCATTAGATGGTGTTATGCTCATCTGTCTTTAAAATAATTCTTTTGATTGTGATAAAATACACATAATATAAAATATGCCAAACCTCATTTTGCCCACCTACCTTGTAAACTGTCGACTCTCTTCATGAACTTCCATTTCTGTGCTTTTAAATTCATTTAGTTCTTTCCTTATTGCTGCCTGAATAGGAAAAAAAAAAAAAAGATAAACAGAATTGTCGCTTAGGTCACATAATTCCTCAGCCTACACACCATCAACAAAGCAGACATTCTTTTAAGAAATGTCTTGCAAAAAGAGAGTCCTAATTTCTATTAGGTAAAGGTAAGATAAATGTAATATCATACTAAAACCAGGGCAGATTTCCTTGAAGTGTTATTGACAAGGAGGAGAGGAAGAAGGCCTTCGCTAAACTCATCCTGGGGCCTGGTCTGAGTCACATACATCCCCCACCCTTGAGGACCACAAGAATAGTCCAGGTCATAAGATTTTCTTCCTTCCTTCCTCCCTTCTTCCCTCCCTCCCTTCCTTCCTTTCTTCCTTCTTTCTTTCCTTCCTCATCTGACACCATGATGAGTATGTCTGTGCTACGGGAAAGCACCTTTATTTTTTTAAGTTTTTATTTATTTATTTGACAGAGAGAACGAGAGCACAAGCAGGGGGAGCAGCTGAAGGAGAGGGAGAAGCAGGTTCCCTGCTCGCAGGGAGCCTGATGTGGGGCTCCATGCGGGGCTTGATTCCAGGACACTGGGATCAGGACCTGAGCTAAGGCAGACACTTAACCATTTGAGCCACCCAGGCACCCCAAGATTTTCTGAGAAACAGTATCATTTTCCTGTGAAAGTTCTGCATTTCATACCACCCACAGCAACATGGCTTTGACCAACTGCCATAGAACTACTGAGAAGGCAGTTGCTTATTTATTCTTTAATATTGAAAATTCAGACAATCAGAATGAAAAATTTCAGCACAGCACTTAAAGCCACTCAAAGAAAATGTACTAATCGGATGTGATTACTATTACCACATAATAAACACATAACCCATGTCACATAGATGTTGGGGTTTGAAGAGATGCTTATGTCCCTTAGGTTGAAAAACTGAGATAATCATCAAAACATTAACATCAGTTATCTATTAACAACGGTGACTGGATCATGGATGGTTTCTGGTTTCAACTTTGTGCTTATCTTTATTTCCTAATTTCTCCACTAAGAAGATTCCCTCATGTGAAGTAAAATTATTAATAAAAACATCCCCATAACCTAATCTCTGAGAGATGGACTCTTCAGCCCAAAGTTAGAATAGTGCAAACTACAGAGAATGACTTTGCTGAGAGATAAGAAAATCTAGTTTGTGGTTGGAAAATGATGAATTTTAGAAAAAGGGAAAAGACAGAAGGAAGCCTTGAGGCTTCTCTCCGGCCTCCTCCCATCACTGACTGTCACTCTGCAATATACAAGCTTTCCCCCAACAGGCTTGTGTGGGTTATATTTAAATCCTGCAGTCATACATTGCTCACATCTCCCTACTTGTATTCCTCAGCCTCTGTACTTTCTATGGGGAAACTGCGGTTGGGAACTGTGGCAATAATTCTTGCTACTAGGTTCTGAAAGAGATGAAGCAAGCAGAGAAACACTTGTGGGCCCAAGTCTGCTGTGGTAAGACCATCCACCTTGTCTCACAAGGAAGAGCACAGTGAGGAAACTCTGTCGTACTCACTGTAAATATTGATACCTAACCCCGGAGCCGAAAACAGTGAATACGTCCTATAATACCAATCTCCAGTTAGCATCTATTGGAAAGACTTCCTTGAAATGAAGTTTTTTTTTTTTTTAAAGATTTTATGTATTTGACAGACAGAGATCACAAGTAGGCAGAGAGGCAGGCAGACAGAGAGAGAAGGAAGCAGGCTCCCCACGGAGCAGAGAGCCCGATGCGGAGCTCGATCCCAGGACCCTGGGATCACGACCTGAGCCGAAGGCAGAGGCTTTAACCCACTGAGCCACCCAGGAGCCCCGAAATGAAGTTTTTTAAAATATGGGTAGTGCCAGAGAATCTTGTCTCCATGTTCATTTTAAATTTCTTCTCTGAATGTAAGGTGTTACTAGATACACTGGGTGTTGGAAGTCATGGGTTGCCGCCTCACCTATGCCTTCAATAGCAGTGGGACCCTCAGTGAATTATTTTGCTCCAAAACCTGTTTTCCCCTCTGGAAAATGGGGATGAAGATTCCTCACAGTATTTTAAAGCTCCATTAAGAGCATACGTGAAAGTGCTTTGTACACTTACTGTGAAACTTCCGAAAGAAGAAATAGATTTTAGTTTATGATTGAGACTAACAATTCTTTCACTGTTATTTATAGAGTCTACTTTGTGCAAGAAGATAACATCACTGAAGGAGATTCAGACAAATAAGGCAAAATCCTTATTCTCAATAGTAGGTTGGCTATCAATCTAAGAGTCTGACAAAAGTTAATGAAAGCATTCTTTTAGAACCAGTTGAGATACAGAATTTGAAAAAAAAAAAGAGTACAGTATAATTTATTTCCAATGGTGAACTATGTGCTAAACATCCCTTACATAAGTAACATTGACAATTCATTTATGACAACATACATATGCATTTTTTCTGAGAAAGTCAGTTTGAGATTTTTGGGCCTATCCCACATGTTCATCTGCAATGTGACTTTGGCATTCCCTCATCAAGAGGTGGAGTCTGTTTCTCCAGCCTTGAATCTGGACAAGTCTTGCCATTGCTTTAAACAACACAGTACACCAGGGGGGAAGTTTAGCCAGTCTGGAATCTAGCTCTTAAGTGGCCTGGCATCTTTTGTTTCCTTCTTCTTGGAAGTCAGCTGCCATGTAAAAAAACAATGTGACTATCCTCAGGAAACCACACTGTGAGAAAGCCAAGGTACAGGAAGAGGCCTATGAGGATGAGAAGCCATGGGGATGGAGAGAGAGGCCAAGGAGCAACAAGGCACAGATGTGCTGGTGAAGGAGCCATCTTGGAAGGGGCAAGCAAAGAAAGACGGTTAAGTCACTAGGAGTTGATAACCCGAAGGCTGTATCACCTTACAAATGATAAGACAGAGGCCTTGAGAGATCATGTCACTTGCTAGACATCAAATGGGTGTTAGGGACAAAGATGGGGCTCATACGTAGGCCTTCTTACTTCAAGATCCACAGTCTTTCCACTGAAATGAGCTTCAGGGCCCAAGTCATCCAGATAATTGCCTCAGATCTCCATGTTGCGTGTGCTGGTTTGTAATTAGGAATAATGAGTCAGTTATAGGCAATGAATGCGATGTGAAATTATAGGGACTGGTTGTTTGAAAATATATATCAGCAAGATGTAACTATAGGCAATTAAAGAAAAGCAATACTCCTTTTCAAAGTTCACTGCAGGACTACCACAATTTTATTCCAAGAGTTGCTTCCTCTTACTATTTAAAGAGAAGGTCTCTTGGGGTACCTGGGAGGCTCAGTGGGTTAAGCCTCTGCCTTCGGCTCAGGTCATGATCCCAGGGTCCTGGGATTGAGCCCCGCATTGGGCTCCCTGCTCAGCGGTGAGTGTGATTTCTCCCGCTCCCTCCACCCCTCCCCTTCCACTCATGTTCTCTCTTGAAGGCTTTGCTCTCTCTCTAATAAATAAATAAAAAAACTTTAAAAAATAAAGAGGTTTCCTGAGAGGGTTATGAGAGGAAAAGAGTAGTTAAAGATGCTTCATATTCAGAAAATACAGGTACAATAATCTTAACTTCCTTCTATGCAAATGAGACCAGAGTTTAGGACTAAGGACTCGTCCCATAAATGTAAATGGGACTGATTTTGTAGAAAGATATGGGACAGAAAGAGCCAGGCTGCTGTGGTGAGATTGGAGCCGGAATGGTGCTGAGCTAGACCAACATTAGTTAGCCACTGAGCCGAAACCAGGTCTGTCTTTCTTTCTTTCTTTTTCTTTCTTTCTTTTTTTCTTATTTATTTGAGAGACAGCAAGTATGCACAAGCATGCATGAATGGGAGGAGGGGCAGAGCAAGGGGGAGAATCTGGAGCAGACTCCCCACTGAGTGTGGAGACTGACGCAGGGCTCCACCTCAAGACCCTAAGATCAAGACCCGAGCCAAAACCGAGAGTTAGATGCTTAAGCGACTGAGTCACCCACGTGCCCCAGAAGCCAGGTATTTCTAGGACTGAAACAAAACAAACGCCCTGAGACTGAATACACAGCATTTTTTGGTACTGTGAGAATTACAGAGAAGAGAGAGGAAAGAAGAATAACTGAAATGAAGTTTAAAACTGACCAGTGATAACTGGTGTGAGAAGGTTTGCTTAATCCCCTCTAGTCGGCTCAGGAATCACCCTTGCCACAAGGAGCTGGTGATTTGTTGAAAATATGGACTCTGCTGCCTTCTCAAACAACGTGAGCTGTGAGGCCAAGATTAACTGGAGTTCCCTCATTTGATGTTTTTTTGCTTATTTCTTTGATAAAAATCTGATATGGAACAGGAGGAAATTTTTTTTTAAAGATTGTATTTATTTATTTGAGAGAGAGAGAGAGAGAGACAGTGCCAGTAGTGGGGGTGGGGGAAAGGCAGAGAGAGAGGGAGACTCCCCACTGAGCAGGAAGCCGGCCTCTCGGGGCTTGATCCCAGGACCCAGAGATCACCACCTGAGCCTAAGGCAGATGCTTAACTGACTGAGCTACCCAGGTGCCCTTGGAGGGAGGTTCTTGATTCTTCTTCAAGCTCAATACCATGCACAGGTAAGTATACTGTTCTTTGCTGCAGGACAACCAGGAACAGGCCAAGATTATGTCTGTATAGAATTAAAATCATCTCTCTTTCCTGCAACCTGGTCCTGTTTAGACAGTACATTCCTGAAAGGGTAGTATGTTCATATTTATGTCCCTGGTATAAGACTGTTCTTGATATATTAATAAAGAATTACTTCTTGAGTAACTTCTTGGACAAATCCATGTATCATCGGAATTTTCAATTCTTTCACTAGATAATTTTAGACTAGACTGTAAACTGAGGCTTCACAGCATAGTGAAAATCTCGCCAGTGGGGAAGAAAGCTTAGATTATCAAGCTTGCCCATGGATTGTAACACTGGTGAGCGCTACCATCTATTGATGAACTGGAACTTTATGGATACACTACCTAATTCCCAAGATG